TCTTGACTCTATTATTTGAGTGGAATTTTATATAACCAAAAAAAAAGGTTCCACATGTTATTATAAGCCGCCTCGCTATAAAAGATATTATTACGATTATTCGAATTCGACAGAAGTACTATTGTCGTGTTCCCAAATTTGTATTGTTGTGTTTGATATTAATGTTCAATGTTACTTAAACTCACCACACTCGTCCACGCTTATATATGGCTTATCCTCATACCTTCAGCTTAAGGTCTTTAACAAATCAGTGGCTAAAATATTTTTATTTATACGAACCCCTTCATATTTCGTACACTTTTGGGTGAAAAATAGCACTTTCTGACATTTTGTGATTGTTATTTACTATCTTGTGAATTATGATGACGTAATTGTTTCAAATGAAAGTATATTAGTTCAGATTACATTTTGGGAATTCAACATATTTTTGGTAAATAACTAATAATGAAAAAAAAAAACTTATTTGTAATCCAAAACAAATTTAAAACTAAGGATGTGATTGGTAAGCAAAGTAAAAGAAAAATTGTTATACGCATTTCTTCTGGATCCACCATAAAAGAGAATCCAATTTTTTAAAACTCAAATGTTTGGTTTTTTGTTCAGAGGAAAAGTTTCCTCCAATATATAGAGGGGAAAAAATTACTCTGTTTCCTTTAATTTTTATGTGGATCTACATTTTTTTTTTTTCTATTATCTCACCTAAGATTTCAAATGATGATCCCTAAAAAAGAAAAGAATAAAGTGGAACATTAAATTCTTCTTCATTCCTTAAAAATTACACTATTTATACGAAATTTTATTACCTATGATTCTTCTTCATTCTTCTTCACGCAGATAATTTATAAAATAAATGGTGCAAATAGTTACACTTTTAGAGGAACAAAATTCGGTGGAATTTAATATTTCTTCAAAGTGCTACCATTTAAGTTGAATAAAAATTAGTGAAATTGAACATTCCTCTAAAAGTTCACCATTTAAGTTGAAAAGTGAAACGATTATTCGACTTATTCCACCAACAAAAATTAAAAGAATAACCAAATTTGATGGAAAACAATCTTATACAAAATTGTAGAGTAACGAGTGGAATAATTTTTTGGTTTTAATTTTCTTATTCCACTCATCGGTTTTTCTACCAATACAATTCTATTTGTTCAACCTTGTAAACAATTTGCACCCAAATATGTTTCTTATCAAATTTGAAAAGGAACAAGGGGAACAACTTTTTTATACATTTCCTTTCCATTCTTAAAATTTTGTTCCTTATCATTCCTTTCGTTATTTTTTTCCATCATTCATTTCATTCCTCTAGTAGCAACCGATCAGATAAAAAAATTATTACGCTAATCTTGAAGTATACTTCTAAAATCATTAATACTTCAAATTCATAAAATATAAATTAAATATTCACAGTTTCTAAAACTTGTATAGTTTTTGGCATGCGAGTCTGTGTCTTGCTGATGTTAGAATTTTTTTATTTAGAGCATGATTATTCCTGATATCATAGGGATATCATAAAAAAAAATTGAATAAAAAATTAATTAAAGAAGAGATTTATGCGTGAGACGGATCAACATGACGAGACGGATGAGACGGTATCATGGAGCCACGTGGCGATTCTGGATTGGACCACTGAGATTCTGATTTTTTTTCTTCTAAATAGTAAATATCATTAATGAAAATCAAAGTTTAGGA